ATCCATCCATCCATCCATCCATCCATCCATCCATCCATCCATCATCTTTACCCACTTCTTCCTTTTTAAGGGTTGTGGGGTCATGGCGCCCTTGTCCCACAGTCACTGTGTGAGCGGCAGGAGACACCCTGGACATGTCTCCAGTCCATCACAGAGACACAAAGAGACAAACAAGACAAACAACCATCACTCTCTCACACACCTAGAGACAATTTAGAGTTACCAATCAGCCTAACATGCATGTTTTTTGTCTGTGGGAGGAAACTGGAGTACCTGGAGAAAACCCACTCATGCACAGAGAGAACATGTAAACTCCACCCAGAAAGGTCTCCGGCCAGGATTTGAACCGGGCAACCTGCTTACTGAGAGGCGGCAGCTTTACCAACTGCGCCACCATGCAAAATAAAAAACATTATTATTGTTGTTGGCATTGTAAAATATGGTTTACGGTTTTTATTTTTATCTTTGTTTTGTAGTGATAATTAGCTGTGTCATGACATTATAAACAAGTGAAACACTTTATGTTGAAAAACTAGTAATTCAGATTTTTAAAATAAGTAAATCAAAATCTCACGTGTCCAAAAAATATTCCAGATGTAAATTGTGGACATGCATATTATTGCTACTATGGCTTTTATTTAGTTATCTTTTTAAAATTTTATTTAAATAAAGGTCCAGCATTTCTTGAAGGTATGCATACGCCCCATGACCTTGAATATCTGAGTTTTAGACTGAGATTATCTTTGTCTGTCATCTGATGATAAGTAAAGGATGGAGCTGGAGCCGTTTGGCTAAAATCTTGTAAATTACATATTAATAATTTCATGCAATATTCTGATATCTTGCAGCATGTGTTGTTAATGACTAAAACACTTTAGCTTAATCTCGCTCCACCTGAATGAGTTATAGCCACTTCCCTGTGTTTGCTAATGTTGATTTACTTTGGCAGTCGCCTTGAAATGAACTGACTCAAATGTGAATCAGTTTTAGAAATACATTCAATTATTATTTTATGGATGTTTAATAAAAATCTGTCCTGTAGTTCATGGGCTATTTTGTCAACAGACAGACCTGACACCAGCTTTACCTCTGAGTTTACTTTACCTCCTCTTGCACAGGAGGGACCAGCTTTGGGCAACAACAAGACAGACTGGTTCGGACACCCAGTGGTTGCAATTTCATCAGTTAAGGAATCGCTGTACAGCTTCCATTAAAGCTGCAAAACGAAACTACTATCTACCTCAGACCACCAAAAATCTAAACGATCCTAAGAGCTTCTGGAAAACTATTAAATCTCTTGATGGCAGCACTCAGTCATCTGATCTGCCACCACAATTATTTGTCAGCTCTGTTCCTGTGTCAAACAAGTATGAGATGCTAAACTGTTTCAAACATCTTGTAGCCTCCAGTTCCTTGTTTGGTACAGTTTCTAAAGGTAAATCACCTTCTCCACCAATAAGTCAAACCTCAGTAAACCATACATTCTCTTTTTCACCGTTCTCTGTCAGTGAGGTTACCAAACTGTTAAAAGAGCTGGATACTAGAGAATCTGCAGGCCCTGATGACCTCCCTCCTTACTTCTTAATTCTAGCTGCACAAATTATAGCAGAACCGGTGTCATACATTTTCAGTCTGTCTGTACAACATAATACTGTCCCAGATGCTTGGAAAACAGTGTTTGTTCTACCATTATTGAAGGGAGGAGACCCCACTATTTTGAACAATTATCGACCTATCTCCAAACTCTGTATTTTAGCTAAGGTTTTAGAAAAACTAATAAATACTCAAATCGAGAAGTATTTGGACTATTTTAATATTTTATCTTCCATGCAATCTGGCTTCAGGAAACAACACAATGACTGCTTCGCTAAAGGTTTTTAATGATGTTGTTGAAGCTTTGGACGCTAAGGATTACTGTGCTGCACTTTACTTAGACCTGCCCAAAGCCTTTGATACTGTAGATCATGACATCTTACACAAGCTCTCAGATATTGACTTCTCAGATCACACTGTTGGCTGGTTCTCAAACTATTTCTCAGGTTGGAGGCAAAGTGTTAAACAAAATGGTACTTCATCTACATTTGTAGCTACCTAACGGTCGCTAATGGTGCGCCACAAGACTCAGTTTTAGGTCCCACTCTTTTTACAATTTATATAACGTAATTAATGTAGGTAAAACATTCCTGCCGCATCCTTGAATCTTTGTGCCGACGACACCGTTGTTTATTATCAAGCTGTCACAGTTGCCAAGGTTTTCCAGTTTCTACAGTCTGCATTTGACATCGTTCAGTCAGACTTATTCCATCTCAAAATGGTGCTAAATGCTGACTAAACCAATAAGATGTTAATCAAGGTTCACGCTCAATAATCCAGGTACAAAAATCTATGGGGGATGATAAAGGAATGTTGTTTTCAAACAGGAAGTTGATACCAGTTCTTCTTCCTATCTCATCCATGCATGATGTTCCTATTGAGTTTGTGGATTCTTACAAATACTTGGGAATTTTAGTCAATGCACACTTCTTTTTTAAACCACATATCAAAAACTTGATAAAGGACCTGAAATTAAAACTGAGTTTCTTTTTCAGAAATAGATCTTGCTTAACTCTGAATGTCATGAAACGCCTTGTAACCACTACCTTCCTACCGGCCATTTACTATGGTGACATTATTCACATGAATGCTCCTGCCAGCTGCTTGCAGATGTTGGATGCTGTCTACCATGGTGCGCTAAGATTCAGAACTGGTTGTAACTATCATACCCATCACTGCACCCTGTACTCACTGGTCAGTTGGTCATCATCTACACGTAGGCTCTCACACTGGTTCTTCTTCATCTATAAATCACTCCTTGGTCTGCTACCTTCTTATATCTCCGCCCACATGTCACGCCGTCCAGTGCAGTTACACCATGCTCTCTCAGGCCATCATTACCTGCAGCGTTCCCTCAGTGCGGACTGAATTGTCAAAAAGGCCTTTTCCTACGCTTCTCCTGTTTCCTGGAACACCTTGCAACAAGACATGAAGTTGTCCACCTTAATTTCTTTAGGGGAATTTAAACATTTGATAATGTCAATAGAAACATCAAAGCAAATATGTTCTTGTTTTTAGTATTTTACCCTGTTTTATTTATTTATTTTTTTCATTTAGCCTTTATTTATGCAGGTAGTCTCAATGAGTCATAAGAACTCATTTTCAAGAGAGACCTGTTTAGGGAGCAGATGGTGGGGGTTAAGGGCCTTCCTCAGGGGCCCAGAGTGGGGTGAATGAGGGTGAAGGCAGGTGTGGGTGTTTCACCTTTTCCACCCACATTTTGATGTTGACAGTACCGGGAGTTGAATCTGCAACTTTCCAATCACAGGCCCATCTTCTAACCTCTGCGCCACTTTGATTTATTGTTTTATAACACTACTTTTATTATATATGCGTTTTACTGTAGTTTATTGTTGTCTGTCTAAAACAGGTCCCTCTTGTAAATGAGTCTTCGTGACTCCGTCGCACTAACTTGTAGACATAAAGGTTGACTGAATGAAAAAAGAAACAGCTACTGCCACACACAGTTTGTCCCAATATCTGTAAAACTGACTGAGTTATAACTGGAGATGTATGAACTATTTTACAAACACAGTCGATTCAGGTTATAGTTTGTAGAGTAAAAATAACAGGTGGCAGCCAATACTACTACTACTACTACCATTACCAGTACTACTACCACTACTACTACTGATAATAATAATAATAAATAAAGCTTCAACTATCACAGTAATTGTCTCTGCTTTTATGGGCCTCTGTTTCCAGGTTTGGTTTAAAAACCGCAGAGCAAAGTTTCGTAAGAAGCAGCGCAGCCTCCAGAAGGAGCAGCTCCAAAAGCAGAAGGAGGCGTCAGGAGAAGGAGGAAGTGAGAAGGAGGGCGCTGTCCTTCCTGACACTCAGCTCCCTCCCTCATCATCCTCGTCCTCCTCCGTGGAGACAGAGGCGCTCGTGGTCCGTCCCCTACCTGTGGACATGGAGCTGAACGTTACCTCAGCAGAGCACTCAGGCAGCGACTCGGCAACAGAGGACAACATCACTGATAAAGAGGACGAGAGCAAATCTACCAGAGAGCAGATGAAATGTGAGCGGGTGCTGCTGACACCTGGAGACACATCCTCACCCTGCAAAAGACTGAGCCCAAAACCAGGTCAGAACAGAACAATGCTCCTTTTTCCACTAAAATCTCATGCAGTATCATGAGACGTGACACTCTCAACTACTACCACATGACCCATTCGCTCAATATCTGTAAGACTCATAGAATCATAATGCGTTGTCTGTTTGCCAAGGTTTATTAGCTGTGGAAACCATTTTGGATTGGATTTACCCCAAAAGTTAATCAGTCATATTCAATTATTATTTATTGGAACCTTCATTCAAATTAATGTAGTGATGCATGAGATATTTTACTAACAGACAGACCAGCAAGCACAGACACAAGCAAAACCATTATTACCATCCTCTTTCAGCGGCAGGTGATAATCGATCCATCACCCTGTAATTATTACCATACTGAGAAGAATTCCTTCCTATTTGCAGATTCTCCCTTGGCTTCTCCGTCCGGGACGCCCTCCTCCTCCAGCAGCAGTCTGGCCAACCCCAGCCCCCTGTCTCAGAGCCACTCTTACTCCTCCTCCCCTCTCAGCCTGTTTCGGCTGCAAGAACAGTTCCGCCAGCACATGGCGGCCACCAACAACTTGGTGCCCTATCCAGCGTTTGACCTCGCAGCCCCATCTTCCCTTCCCTACCTGGGGATGAATGTGAGCATGCCCCCTGCTCCACTGGGATCTCTGCCCTGCCAGTCCTACTATCAGTCGCTGTCCCATCATGCCCAGCAGGTGTGGAACAGTCCACTGCTGCAGGCGTCTGCTGCCAGCGGACTCACCAGTCACAACAGCAAGACCACCAGCATCGAGAACCTGCGTCTGAGGGCCAAGCAGCACGCCGCCTCTCTGGGATTGGACACACTGTCTAACTGAGGTTCAGATGAAGGGTGGGGGCTTGTGTCAATTCAGCCGGAGTCACAACCCACATTCTGTACCGAGCCAGATCTTCAGCACACTGGCTGCTTTACTGGGTCCACCTGTTCAAATGCCAACATGGCAGCAACTCAGTGCATTAGGCTGTCTCTAGACTGTTACCATTATTAAATATGAATGAAGCACCTCTGCTTCCTCCTGTGGTTCAAAACTGAAAACAAAATGTCCGTTTTTTTTTAGGAAGCTGCCATGTTGGACACTTGGAGTCAAAGACTGTAAATTAGGGATGTAACCTTGATACTTAAGTCACTCCTACAAGCCTCCCAGTTCACCAACAGACTGTCCCTCTGTCAGTCACAGTGACACTTTTCTTTAGGCTTCAAGTGACTAATTAAAACTAAACGTGGGGAAAATGCACACACATACAGCAGCGTGGAACTATAAAAATCAACACATAAATGACCTGAACTACTTCAGTCAGAAACATGTCCCATAAGTTTGTATGGAGGGGCGGGACTTATAAATTGTACTGCAGCTATCCACCAGTAGGAGCTCTTTTTCTGTGGCTTCAATGTCTGGTTACCAGCCTTGTCTCTAGTTATACATACTACATCTTAATGATCTAAACTGGTGAATTCTTGCTGAGGCTCAAACCGAGCATAAGAACGGGGGAGACGGGTGATTTACGTGGTGGCGTGGTTGTTGATCTGAGTGTTTCAGAAAGTGCTGAGCTAGTAGGATCTTCATGCACAACCATCTCCAGGGTTCACAGAGCTCATCAGACCAAACAGTTTGTCCAGTCTCTTACTGACTCATTTTGGTGTGCTCCAGCAACGTATAATCTTAACTTCCTGTTCTTAGCTGAACAGAAGGTCAGTCGTAGACACTCGGTGTGGTCGATGCTGCTGTAGCTCATCTGCTTCAGCACTGGTTGTGCTGTGTGTTCAGAGATGGTTTTCTGGTTATATGAGCTACTGTTTTCTAAAATCTCCAAACTTTTTGCGCTTTGATATCGACTAGACAGTTTTATCAACGTAACTGCTGCTCACTCTATTTTCTTTTTAGGACCTTTCTCTGTAAACTCCAGAGATGATGGTTTGTGAACATCCCAGCACATCAGCAGTTTCTGAAATAGTCAGACAGCTTGTCTTGCACCAACAACCACCTAAATCTCCTTTCTTCTCTACTCTGACGCTCCTTTGGAACTTCAGCGAATTGTTTTTGCCACATCTAAATCTCTAAATGAACTGAGTTGCTGTCATTTGATTGGCTGATTAGTGCTTTGAGTTAACAAGCTGCTGAACAGGTATGGCTAATAAAGTGTCTAGTGGGTGCACATGGAGCTCTTCTCGTGCACCTGGAACCAAGACGTGCAGACAACAGATTCTGGGTCTACAGATCTGAACTCAAGCCGTCTTTAAGACACAGCACATTTCAAAAAGCTGCTCAGATCTTCTTCACTCCGGTGCAGTTTGCAGTTGACATTTAAAGCTTCCCATAAACTAAAATAAAATAAAACCAAATGTCAAGGCTCAACACATTTTACATTCAGTTATGATGCAACCCATAACCAGTGGATCCAGTGAACACTTACTACTTAAAAAACATCTGAAAATGATGTGAGCTGATAATGAAGGCACTCGGTTTAAATGCCAGTGCAAATATTGTTTACAAGAATACTGTGAATGAATGAGGCACTTTGTGGGGGGGAGTCACTTGTGCATTAAGGGGACTTTTCAATTAAGCAACACAGTGATGTACATAGCATGTAATGGCACATTAATAAAAACACGAAGCTAAACCGCGTTGTTTTCAACAACATAATTAACAGCGAGTAATTTGCCAGTTAAAGGAGCAGTGATGCGCTGCTTACAGAGGCTGCGCTTGATAATGAGAAAATGATTTCTGTGACTAAATTTTAAGAGGTTTTAATTACATTTGGCCCAAGGCTGAGGGAGCTGGGTTCAAATGCAATTACGTACATGCATACCATTTTAAGCAGCTTGTACTCTTAATCCAAACAGCTGATTCAGCTGGCCAACATGATGAACCTCAATATGTACTTTGTCAATTTTTACACAGAGCTTTCAGCCATATTCCCATCTCCATATTGTGTTGAAAAACCATGATTATATCTCACTGACAAAGCAACTTAAAGGGATAGTCTGGTGATTTTTGAAGTTATGTTCTGTCAATAAGTTAACTACAGTCAGCACCTTATGAGCCATGACATCAGTCAAGGAGTATGAAGAAAGAAGCAAAGGACTCCATCCAGACTAGGCTAATGGAGAGCCAAACAAGAGCTCATTTTTGTAGTGTTTTTCAGGCTGAACAACTCAAAAATGACGTACCAGCGAGAAAGAATTAACCAATACAAAATCTCTGCACTTTTGTATGACCCTGTTTGCATAGTTTGTTGTTTTCTCAACTATTCAATGGCCATTTTACTGCACAGACATCTGTGTGCTGAGCATAAATCATGTACATGCTGACGGTCCTGAGAGGATGCTGAATGTGTCAGCCCGTCAGATCCGTGCCAAAGTTTACTCAACTTCTGGCAGACTGATACATTCAAAGGTCGTGGTATCCTCAGCACCATTCATCCTTCCATTCGTGCATTTTCTTCACCAGCATTTTCCTTTTTGAGTCAGAGGGAGCTGGTGCACGTCTCCAGCAGTACAAGCACAAGTCATTGCGGCTGGTCTGGGCCTGATAACAATATCCGTATCGGTATCGGGACACCACTAGATTGAAGAACGCAAACACTGCAAATTTAACAAAGTACTTTATCAACCCTTACTATATTCTTGATGAATTTATTACTGCGCGTTCGTTCTTTATGTAACAGTTAAATATGCAATTAGGGCACATTTGGGGCAACAATGGCTGAGTGGTTAGACCAGTTGTCCTCCAATGGGAGAGTTGTGCGTTCAATTTCACCAGCAGTCACATGTTGAAGTGTCCTTGGGCAAGACACTGAACCCCTCACTGCCTCCGATGTGTGTCCCATCGGTGTAATGTGATCTAAAGCTCTGAATAGTCTCTACAGATTCAGATTAGCTTTGTAGAGATGTAGTAGAGTGCTGCATGGAGGTAAATGAGGGCACAGGTTGTGTTGTAAAGCGCTTGGAAAGATGCTATAAGTACAGTCCATTTACCATTAAAAATCTGTCAACGTTAATTTGATTTGTGTCAATCTTCTCAAGACCGCCCGCTTCGAGGTTACATGATGACACACAACTTTGTGCACTACTGATCTATGCTCCGCATACAGATATTTGTATATTTACATGTCGTTGCTTGGCTAAGAAAACATTTACAAACTAAACAAACTGTGTCACGTAAAACTGTAGAGGTTTAATATTAGCTTTTGTAGCACTTTGTAGCATAGTATGTTGTTTTGGGGGGAAATAGGCTTTTCTTTGGCTAGCTGTTAGCCTAACTCGAACAAAGACTTTTGCCCTTTTTCCCGTACTTCGTGTTCTCTGACTCATGTCACGGCTGATGACGGTGGTGTCTCACTGCGCTGCGAACACTTGGCAAACTGATTTGGCGTGGCGTGCTCTGAATGTTTCCTGATGTTCCCTGAGGTGTTCAGTTTCTTTGCGTTGCGCAGTCTGTCGCGTGAGTTTGGAACAAGTTCAACTGGGGAACAGCTTCAATGACAAACCTGTGTCAGTTTTGTCGTGGTCATCTCCAGCTCAACTCAAGAGCACTAGATCTGCATTTTGAACACACTTTGCACGGGAGCTGTCCCCTGACAGAAAACATGTCCAGGTCTCAACACTACACTAATCATAAACAATTATTATTTTTAAAATGGTTCAAATCTGCTTATCTTCAATGCCAAAGTTTACTCTATTTGATTGAATCCTAACTGTGGGTCAGCCGCAGAGATGTGTACAATGTGGGCAGAAGTGTACGACAAAATAATGTGCACAGACAAGACAAAGGCCACAATTGTCAAAAATCGGCCATAACAAATGCAGACAGGGTTGGCTTGTTGCAAAGAGTTCAGTGAGACTTCAATTTATGATCGGCCTTTTAAAAAAAATAAAAAATTCCTGCTGATTTAAATAATCAATTAGTACCGGCAGCAGGGGAGTGGTGGCACAGAGGTTAAATCTGCATTGGAAGATCGCCGGTTCAAGCCCTGGTACCGACAACATCAAAAGTGTGGGTGAGGTAGGTGAAGCACCCACACCTGCCCCCACCCTCATTCGTCCCACTCTGGACCCTTGAGCAAGGCCCTTAACCCCCACCATCTGCTCCTCCGGGTGTCCTAGACAGCAGCTCTCTGCTCCACACAGAGGCTGTGGTAGCTCAGTGTCTGTGGTCGCGTCAGGAAGAACATCCGGCGTAAAAATAACTGCCACGTCTTCGTGCGACTTAGTTCGCTGTGGTGACCCCTGACACAGGGAGCAGCTGAAAGAAGAAAACAAAAAAATAGTACCAGCAGAAATAAGATAGTAACTATTTATAACAATCTGACAGAACTTAACTAAAAAAACAGACTATCTCTTTAAATTAGCATTTAATGAGAGGAATTCACGCTCATGCATTTCCATTATTGTGGTCAAGAAGACTTTTGTCTTCAATAAAAAAAGCACATTATTTTTAAAAACATAATATACAAAATAGTCTATATATTAATGTTAACTGGTAAGGTAATTGTAAAGTTCATTTATGTTGTGGAATCGATGCTGAAACTTCTTTAAAGATTGTATTTAATGATTGCACCAACAGCCACTCGGCCTCCTGATTGAAGTCATTTTTTTAAAACAAAAGACGCACCTTTGCTTCTGAAACTACGTGAAGCACGTGAACACGTTGGATGTTCTGAAACAGCTTCAGTGTTTTTGTAATTCACCTGAACTGAAAAGTCCAAAAACGTGAGGTTCCCAACAGGCCCGAGTTCTCTTGTGTACTTCTTGTCTTGACTTAATTTGAGTTCTGTTGTTGTTCCTAATGCTGTCCCTCTCACTGTTTCTGTCAATTGG